CACTGAAATGCCATTCGAAGGTCATTTCATTCTGATGTTCTGATTGAGGGAAACTCTGAAGTTCCAGTCGAAGTACACTATGAAGTTCCAGTCAAAGGACCTTTTGGAATGCCAATCGAAGGGCCTTTGATCGAAGGCCTTATTGAAATGCCAATCGAAGGATCTTGCTATAAGGACAATTGAAAGGCTTTGTTGAAATGTCAATCGAAGGATATTGTTACAAGGCCAATCGAAAGGCTTTGTTGAAATGCCAATCGAAGGATCTTGCTACAAGGACAGCCGAAAGGCTTTGTTGAAATGTCAATCGAAGGATCTTGTTACAAGGCCAATCGAAAGGCTTTGTTGAAATACCAATCAATGGATCTTGTTACAAGGCCAATCGAAAGGCTTTGTTGAAATGCCAATCGAAGGGCGTTTTGGAGATGCCAATCGAAGGAAACTTAAAAACGTCAGTCACAAATTTTCCTTTTCTTTAGGCAAGGGTTTGTGACCAACCATGAAGGGGAAGACCTTGGAAAACATGAGAGGGCAAATTTTGGGGTACAATACTGTTGATCTAATTTGTTATTCAAACTTTGACTGGTGTGGAGACAGAGTTGACAAAAGAAGCACAACATGATACTTGTTTAAGCATCTAGGAGCCCCCATTTCTTGGTGTTCCAAGAAGCAACTTATGGTTGCATTGCCAACCTGTGAAGCTGAATACATAGTTGGTGTTTTATTACCTTATCAAGCTGATTGGCTGATGAACTTGTTGCAGAAACTGAAGTTCAAGATAAGCAAATCAGTCAAGTTGATGATAGACAAAAACTCTTGCATAAGTCTTTCCAATAACCCATTGTTTCATGGGAGAAACAAGTATATAAAGACAAAGTTATATTTTCTGCTAAATGAAGTTCATAATTGAGTGCTTGAAGTTGTTCATTACTCCACTTATAAGCAACTTACAGATGTGCTGACCAAGACTATCAAGACTGAACACCTCATCAATTTGAGGTATGAAATTTGTGTTGTTGATTTTAATTAACTGAATATAAATTAAGGAATGGTGTTAGTTGTAACTCAGCTTCAGTTTCATTTTAGCCTACATTTACATTTTGATTGCATTTAAGTTTGGTTGTATAAATACTAAAACTCAATTCTCAGTTAGTAGTAATAAATTCATAGTGTTGTAGAGTTTGTTGATAGAGAAAGTTAGTTACACGTTTCTTACATCTCTCTCTATCATATGATATTGTATATTCTTCGGAGATAATTTGATATTATAAAAAAATAAGAAATAAAACGTAAAGTGCAAACGTAAAATACATGACTATGGCTCAAAGTACTTGTAAATTGATATGGTTAAGACAAATCTTGGATGAGATGAGATTTGAGAATAATTGTTGTATGAAATTGTGGTGTGATAACCTCAGCCATATATATTACATCAAATTCAATTTATTCTGAAAGAACAAAATACATTGAGATAAACTGACACTTAATTAAAGAGAAAGTTCAAGAAAATCTCATATTCACTTCCTATGTTACTTCAGAAGATCAATTAGTAAACTAGTTTACAAATGCATTCAATGGGGTTCTACTGAGGTCATTTGAATAGTTTTCGATGAGTAGAATTGGTAGACTACTCTCTTTTGAAGTTAATCTTTCTAAGAGCTTACCAGGGGATGTTAATGTAAATATGTCATGATTATTGGATGATGCTTAAAGTCGTAATTGCTTGCTCACAAACATTTCAAAATAAAATATTTTTTCAAAACACACCAACACCTTCATGAAATATTTTCAAAAGTCAACGCTTTGTATACGTTTTCGCAGAAACGAAAAATATTACAAAGTTCACCTAAACGAAGGCACTTTTCAAAAATACTTTCAAACAAACACAAACACAAAATCATTTCAAAGTGAGCTAGCAACTAAGAGCCCGTAGATAACTACGGATGAAAAGGGTGCTAACACCTTTCCTTTTCATAACCTACCCCCCAAACTCAAGAAAAATTCTCAAAAGGTCTTTCCTGTTCTTTTCACCCTTTCCTCTATTGGATAAAAGAAAAGTCGGGGCCGACTCTTGTTATCTGAGACAATTGCGATAAAATGCAAAACACCTAAGTCAATTCTTCCACCGTATCACAACGACTCTGAATCTAATGGTGAGTCTAACTATGAAGAAGACTCAGAATATGATTCTAAGTATAAAGAAGACTCTGACCTGAACTCTGCTGGTGATTCAGACTTTAGTGGTGATCCAGACTCTAATGGTGATCAGAACTCTGGTGGTAATCTAGACTTTGAAGGTGAAGCCTTTGAAGGTTGTCCATAATTTGAGGGTGGTCTTGTCTCTAAAACTAGACCACAAAGAATTATTCAGATTCCAAGGAGTTTTGTAGACTTTGAGTTGTTGCAAGATACTAAATTTGACTCTATAAAGTTATTCAGTGTGCCATGATAATGGACTTTGAACCTGACAGTGTCAATGAAGCTTTTAAGAAGAAGGTGTGCCTAAACGCCATGAAGAAAGATCTTGAGGCAATTGAAAGAAATAAGGCATGGGAATTGACTGTTCTAACAAAGAACAAGAAAGCCATCAGTATTAGTTGGGTTTTCAAGATAAAGTTAGAGTCATATGGGTCAATTTAAAAGTGCAAAGCGAGGTAAGTTTCTAGAGGATTTCTACAGAAATCTGTTTTAGACTACTTCAAGTGTTTGCACCTGTAGCTAGACATGAAATAATCATATTGGTGATTGATATGGCTGCAAATAAGAATTGGCATCTGATGCATTTAGATGTGAAATCAACTTTTTTGAATGGTAATTTACAAGAGGAATTTTATGGTCACAACCTCCTGAATTTATGTAAGAGAATCAGGAAGGGATGGTGTAAAAGTTGCATAAAGTCTTGTATGGACTGAAACAAACTCCTAGAGCTTGGAATCTGAAAATTGATTCATTTTTCAAGCATCAAGAATTCAGAAAATGTGAGATGGAGTATGGTGTATATGTTTAGTATACTTCTGACGGTAATATGATTTTTGTGTGTCTTTATGTGGATGACATATTATTGATAAGGAGTTGTACTTCTGAGATGAACCAGTTCAAGAAGGTCTTATGAATGCATTTGAGATGATTGGCCTTGAAAATATGGTATATTTTTAGGGATGGAGATTTTGCACTATGATAAGGGAATCATTATGCATCAACTGAAGTATGAAGTTAAGCTGCTGAAGAGATTTGATCTAATGGATTGTAAATATGCAGTCACGCATGTAGAAACAAACAATAAAGTGGACTCTGATCAAGAAGGTGATGATATAGATGTTACAACTTTTAAACAGTTGGTTGGCTCGCTGAGATATCTATGCAATATCATGCCTATCATTATGTAGTTGGAATGGTTAGTAGATTTATGTATGAGAAACCAAAGTTGTCACATTACCCAGCGTTGTCGGGACACTAAGGTATGTGAAAGGGACTCTGAAGCTTGGAATTTTGTTTCCATATGAAGAATTAGATGTTGTTGATCTGATTTGTTATTCAAACTTTGACTGGTGTGGAGACAGGTTGACAAAAGAAGCACAACATGATACTTGTTTAAGTATCTAGGAGCCTCAATTTCTTAGTGTTCCAAGAAGCAACTTGTGGTTGCATTGTCAACCTGTGAAGCCGAATACATAAATGTTGCTTTATTAACTTATCAAGTTGATTGGTTGATGAACTTGCTGCAGAAACTGAAGTTCAAGATAAGCAAACCAGTCAATTTGATGATAGACAAAAAATCTTTCATAAGTCTTTCCAAGAACCCATTGTTGCATGGGAGAAAATATAGAGACAAAAATATATTTTCTGCTAAATGAAATTCAGAATTGAGTGCTTGAAGTTGTTCATTGCTCCACTTATAAGCAACTTGCAGATGTGCTAACCAAGACTATCAAGACTGAACACCTCATCAATTTGAGGTATGAAATTGGTGCTGTTGATTTTAATTAACTGAATATAAATTAAGGGATGATGTTAATTGTAACTCAGTTTCAGTTTCATTTTAACCTACATTTGCATTTCAATTGCATTTAAGTTTAGTTGTATAAATACTAAAACTCAATTCTCAGTTAGTAGTAATCAATTCATAGTGCTGAAGAGTTTGTTGATAGAGAAAGTTAGTTACAAGTTTCTTACGTCTCTCTCTACCATATGATATTGTATATTCTTCGGAGATAATTTGATATTATAAAAAAGTTAGAAACAAAACGTAGTAGTAAGATCAAGTGCAAATGCAAAATACATGACTATGGCTCAAAGTACTTATAAATTGATATGGTTAAGACAAATTTTGGATGACATGAGATTTGAGAATAATTGTTGTATGAAATTGTGATGTGATAACCTCACAGCCATACATATTACATCAAATTCAATTTATTCTGAAAAAACAAAATACATTGAGATAAACTGACACTTGATTAAAGAGAAAGTTCAAGAAAATCTCATATTCACTTCCTATGTTACTTCAGAAGATCAACTAGTAAATTAGTTTACAAATGCATTGAATGAGGTTCGTACTGAGGTCATTTGAATAGTTTTCGATGAGTAGAATTGGCAGACTACTCTCTTTTGAAGTCAATCTTTCTAAGAGCTTACTGGAGGATGTTAATGTAAATATGTCATGATTATTGGATGATGCTTAAAGTCGGATGAAATTCCTTTAAAATATCTAGAATTACCGATTGACGATAATTCAAAAAGTTGGAATTTTAGATCTCGATAATCTAGCGGATTAGAACTTAATTTTATAAACATATGAGATGTATGCGAGTAATGAGATTGTAGGGTGTAATTAGTGAAGCCTTAATTTCAAACAACAATAACTTTAACGTTAGAAAACTACAAAGAATGCACAAAACAACCAAATAAGGTTTCTTAATAACCATTAACCAAACCCTTTGATTAAACTCAAAAGTTGTTTATGTTCCAAAAAGATTTAAGCAAACAAAAAATCCAAAGATGTTTCATTGAGGAACAGTAGCTGTTAATGTGACATGCCTAGGGTCAGTAAGAATTGATGTTATGTTCACAAAACCAGCTTCCCTCAGTGTTTCATCCATATCAGTCAAGTAGTACTCATCAAGAAACGGTTCTGTGCTCTTCATCAATGTAAACAGGACCGGAGACAACTCCTACAACACATGAAGAAAACAAATGAAGAACTTTGACCATGTTCCAACTGGTGAACAATGTACCCTGTGATATGTATCAATCAATATGGTCAAGAAGAGAAGCAGGAAAATACCTGTAGGACTTTCGACTTTGGCTGCGAAAGGAAGTATTAATGATATCAGTGTTTGTGATAGGAGCACAAAATTAAAAAAGAAGCATGATCATGGTTTTATATACCGAATTATCTGTCATAGCCAGCGTGCCTCCAGGACGAAGGAGACGGAATGCTTCCTTTACTACATTCACTATAGCTCTGTTAGGACATTCATGAAACTGCATAAATTGAAAAAGATTAGTCTCTAAACAATAAAATGTATACAGAGCCGTCACCATAAATTTTAGGCTCTGTATGGTAGTCTGTTTTACACGACCTCAAACACGGTCCTGAGTGTACATAGAAAGCAAGGTGAGAAAATGACATACCACATAAGCAATAGATACAAGATCAAATGACTTAGAAGGCAAGCCAGTGTCTTCTCCATTTGCATGTATCCATTTTATAGGATTTTTTCTAGTTGTTCCTCTCTTTTCCTTATGCTGTGCGACGGATAGAAAGTACGGTGACAAATCAAGCCCCTGGACAAAACATTTCAATGAAATGCATAAGGCTTCTCTTACATAGATTTTTCACAGAAATTTCATTCATTAAAAACTCACGGTGACTTTGGCGCTAGGAAACTTTTCTGCAAGATATCTTGAGCTTACTCCTACAGAACATCCAATATCTAGAATGTCATCAATTGTGGATGTTTGCGAATGCTGTAGATGGTGTTGTTCAATTGCATTAAGCCAGTTTCCACGTAGGATTTGAGTCGCTTCATCTACTGAAGAAGCGGTAGGAATCGCTCGTCTTACCATTGACTTAGTAGCAGCTTCTGCTTCTGCTGCTGCCTATAATCATATAACACAAATCTTAATGATATCATATAACAAGGCATATCCGGTGTCCAACACATATCAGCGTCAGACGCTAATGCTAATACGACACAGATACATGTGATTAAGTTCAATTTCAATTTAAAATTTAGACCGGACAACTGAGATCAAAAACTCAAGTTAAGAATGCAGTTACCACTTACCAGCCATGTAAGGTTCCCCTCATCATACGCATGGAATGGATTCAAATAATCTGTGAAGAAAATTCATCAAATCACTTGAAAATTGAAACATGCAATACAAAGAAAAGAAAAAAAACAAAAGTAAGATAAAATTACAATCTGGATACAGTAAAGACTTGTTTTGAATGCTGTCCAGCTCCTTATAAACATCTGACTCCAAAATCTCTTTTGTCATTTCCCTCCAAGGTATGTTATTTTTCTCAGCTGTACTGCGCATTCATTCATATAAACAAAATGCAGTAAACAATTATCAGTGTCGGTTTCAAACAGAGACACGTATTTTTTCTGAGGTGTCAATGGTACAGAGAAATAATGTTACAAAGTGAGTCGAAGCAAAACCTTATGAAAACCTGTCTAGCACCAAGCTTGAGTATAGAGTATAAGGGTTTGAAAGAGATGAGAGCTCGAACCAAGCGAGAGAGAGGAGTTTCTCCGGTCCATTTTGGTCGGACTAAGTTTCCTTCTTCGAAAGTGCTGACTTTAAGGGAGGTTGTTGTGTCGGATGCCGCCGCGTGAACCGCCAAGTAACGCCGCGTTGGTGTTCTTGATGTTGCGGTGGCGATGCCGTGCGAGGAGATTAATGAAGAGAGGTTGTGAAGTGGTGGTGATGACAGAGGCATTGTGTGTGAAAGTGTTGGAAAATTTTGCGACCACAAACACATCCTATGTCCTAAAGTGTAGTATCTCAATCGCCAATTATATGCAGCTACGTGTAGCTTGAAATAAACTATAATATCTATCTACATACCCCCCAAATATATTTCTCATTTCTTTTTTAGTTTTCCATTATAGAAAGATGTTGTTTTCAACATCGTTTGTGATCTCCACGCTTTTTAGTAGAGATAAAAAAAAAATTATTATTATTATTTTTAATTAAATTAAATGTAAAGAATTTTAAAAAGTATTCTGTTTTGGAATTATAATTGTATATGAATTAATGAGATGGATTCTCAGCACAGTGGTACAAGGGTCCTATTCAGCAATGCGGAAATTTTAATTTTCAAGTTATTTATTTTATTAAAAAGAGATATAATCAATAATGGATGAGAAACATACCTTATGTTTCACGTGTATTGATGTATAAATATGATGAGTGGTTGGGTGGTCTGAAAATGACTGTTTGACTCTTCTTTTATTATGACTCGTAGATGGTCAAGAACAGTTTCCTCCCATACTTGTCATGACATAGCAAATGAGAAGTGTTTGCAGAAAATATGGTCGCCTAAGTTATCCGAGGAAGGGGAAGTATGAAAGCCGGAGTGCGTAGCTTAGGAGACTAGTGCATTAAATGTTAATCACGTCATTGAGATGTATCAGAAGACTTTTCTAGCACGTGGTCCTAGATTTCTCGATTAGGGCATTGACGCTTTATTCTAGGATGTTCAAGTGCACTTAAGTGTCGTTTGGATTTTTTAGACGAATCATAATCGTTGTTTTTCATCTTCCAATTTTCTTTTTTCTTGGACCATTGATTTGACTATCGTACTTTCCTATATAAAGGTCATCTTGACCCTTCAAACAAAATTTCGCTCTTTGATCAACCGACATTTCCCCTTTTTCTTCACAAACCCTAACCCTCGTCCCTGGGCTCCAGTGACCTTTAGTTTCACCATATTTCATATCTATTTGGATTATGCATTTCCTAGTTCATCATCTCAAAGTTTCTTCGCTTCTTACCAGTTTCTTTGATTCACTTCTTCTTCTAGTACCATTTTCTTAGACCTTTTTCTCACATTTTGCTACTCTATTTTGGACATGCCCAGTGTAGGAAATATACTTGTAAACATGTGAAACATCCCGGGTGGGGGTGATTCTCCATCATCCAACGAAATATAATTCCCTTATATGCCAAATGTTAACCCTTTAGAGGTTAATCGACCTAACCCAAACCCCATCGTGCTTAGTGTCAGTTCTCGTGTTGGTGAGGGTTCTGTAGAAGATGGTGATGAACCCTCTAGTGCCTCTTCTCATGAGGACACTGATGAGTCTTCTGAGGAGGGTAGGTTGATGAATTATTATAGCCTCGTTGTAAGTGGTGTAGACGTCGCCCCTTCTCCTTCTGTTTAACCTATTCTATATTCAATTTCTAGCATAGTTGCCTATGACGAGTGGATGATTGATTGTTTCATTAGGATATTTAGGGTGGTTCATGGCCCGAGATCCTGGTGATAAAGAGGTTAAGGATCACAACAATTTTTAAAGCCATTGTCAATCTTGTGATCGACTTCACCTTTTCATAATAGTTAGGCAGACACGGTGGTATGGTTCGAAGGAGCGTGAAGGCCTTATGGAGCTGGTTGATGTTAAACAATACTGATGGTTAGATCTTGAATTGATGGGGATGATGTCCTCCTTCAATAGTGCATCTTGAATGGAGAATACCTGTATAGATGTGGGTCCATCTTCAGAATAGTCAGTCTCTCATTCTGATTATGGAAATATGATTTACAGTTTTTTTGTTGGGTGTTTTGTGCCATAGTATGAGTATATATTCTCTATGTTAAAATTAAGGCTTCCCTTCAATGAGTTTAAGGAATGGGTTCTAAGACATCAAAGGATATCCCCCTCTCAAATGCACCTTGTAGCACGGGATTTTGTCAAAATGTTCCTATATTTGTTTGAATATCAAAGTCAAGAACCGCCTCTTAACCTCTTCTTTAATATTTTCAATGTAACACGTACCTCTGTGAACCTTTCCCGAGGGAAGAAGTCGATCTCGATGTGTCAACCAGTTAAACAATTTGACATTTACCTTGAAAGTTAGAAGCACTTCAAGGATCATTACTTCTTGGTGACCTCATGGACTTTATGGGCTCACTTCGTGTTCTACAATGTGCCTAAGGAATAACCTACCCTGATTAGCTCCCTGGCTCAAAGATGGAAAAATGTAAGAATAGGATCCCAAAATGTTTTTCCAGAACCACTTTGATCGGGAATCAAGCACCTATAACATCCCTTATGAATCTCTGACTCTAGAAAAAGAGTTATAAAAGGAGGATTTGATAGCCTTTTGGGAGCTATTGGGCTTCGAAGAAGGATCTTCCCCTTCAAATGTTGGCCCTGCCATACAAACGAGATAATTCATTAATACGCGAGCGATTATGGATGTGGCCACTACTCAGGAGTTAAGGGAGATCTTTAGTGAGGAGAGAAAATTTATCTTTATATTTGTCTATGTTGTTTTGTTTTAATTCATTGCTAACCTTAATTTTTCTTCTAGTAGATAATATGGTGTCTATCAACAGTATCTTCAGGAGGAGGAAAGCTATCATTATGAATCAACCTCCTCCAACTCCCACTCTTATTACAGTATAGACAATTACGGGAACATCCCCCAATATGTAGGTTGAGTTGGCCTAGGTTGAACAAGGTGGCGTGTCGATGCAAAGGTGTCCATTTTATAAAAGGCGGATTAAGAAGGTGAATGATAAACCATCTTCTATTGATGGGGAAACTAATAAGAGGGATATGAGTAAAGACCAAATCAATGATGGGAACTCAACCAAGAAATCTAAATCATCTGGGTATTATTTTAGAGGGGTTAGTTTGCTTGATGATGAATTAGCTCTTGATCCTTCTCGTCTTCTTGGCTTGATCGCTTCTTGAGTTCCCCAAACTAATAAAGAGGCATGGACTTGCCTTATGGAATTGGACTATGCATATATGCAGAAGCTTTCTAATACTGCAAGTTGAAGTTGATAACTAAGAGGATGTTTCAAATGTATTAAGGGGCCTCCTTAATGTCGTTGGCGACTGGTGGTTCTGGGATATATTGGCTCCCAAGAATGCTTTGGAGTATAGGTATACATGGAAAGGAAAACATTAAGTCGTTTCTTATGAGCGAGATCAACTCTAGGAGAAGCTATATGAGCTTCAGAAAAAATGGGGCATGCTTTCTAGTTTTTAAAAGAAGGTGGAGACCCATGGAACCCCTTTTGACCTGGTTTTTCAGGTGACCAAATTAAAGGCCCCTATGATGGATAAATAATAATCCTTCAGAGAATCTGAGGCAGCCCGAGCAACTTTGTCCTCCCAAGTCACTGAAGCTGAAAAGGCACCGAGGAAGGAGAATGCGGCTTTCTCCAAGGAAGTGAAAACCCACATAGAGGCCTTGGGCGACAAAGGTGGAGATTGTAGAGGCCATTGAGGAGGGAATTAAAGTTTTATATGATGCTTTCAAGAAAACTATTGACTAGGCTGAAATGTTGTGCCTATGTGTTCAGATCCCCGAGGCTAAAATAAACCCAAAAAAGGTAGTCGTAGGGGGAGTGATAGTAACCGATAAGAAGGAGTGACTTATGTATAATTCTTTTGAATATATCTTTTGATGGTGTCAAGGTCGTATAATTTATTGGAAAATCTGTTACTTTGTTGATTCGTTTTACTTTGCTTGCTTCATAAGCTGAAATATTTTAAAATTTCATTGTTTGGCCACCAACGATTTTGTTTCAATGTTTAATCCTTTAAGATTTTGGTTCATTGTTTATTTGCCTACAATTTTGTTTCATAGTTTATTTTCCTATGATTTTGTTTCATCTTTTTTACTATTTACATGTCTTATTATCAAGAACTTGAGTAGGCTTTGACATCATTGAGGTCCGTGCCCCGCCAGTGGTTTGATCCCCTTCCCATCCCCTAGGCTTATCCTGGTTCGAGGTAGATGTATCCAGGGATCTAGCGCCTATGCTCTAGACTTCCTAGCTACTGGTAAAGGGGTCTGCCAAGTTCAATTTCATGCACTTAATTTTTCTCGCACCTTGATTTCTTTAAGAGAGGTTCACACAATTTCAATAAAGAGCATAATATAATTTATATAAATATTATTGCATGATATGATAATTAATCATTCTATCTTGGTTTAACCTTTGGGATACTTAGCTAAAACATTGTTTGAGTTTAGTGGCATTCTATATCCTCGACATAGGCTCCCTTGTTGGAATATCTAGGGTAATATTCCTTGTTCTCCATGCTGGTCTTCACCCTGTATGGTCCTTCTCAATTGTATGCAAGATTTCTATCTATGGAACTCCTTTATCCAATGTCATCCTACCTCAAGACGAGAAAATCGGGTTGAAATTCAAGTTGTCATACTTGTTTATCAAATCTAGCAAGTAGCTTATTTTATGGTGGATCTCATGAGAATGATGGATGTTCTTATTTCTTCTAGGAAGTATGCGTTTTCTCTAATTTCTCTAACATTGTTTTCCTCAAATAAGGGATTTGTTATTCTTCTACTTCAACTGGTATGATGACTTCAATTCCATATGTCAATCAAAATGGAGTCTCATCGGTTGTTGAATGGGACGTGGTATGATATTCTCAAAGGACGTATGGAAGTTCATCTTCCTAGTTCCCATTATCCTCTTTAAAACTTTATTCCAACCATTTTTACAACCTAGTTTTCCGCTTTAACTTTCCCATTTGTTTGAGGGTGTTCTATTGACATGACTACTTGACTTTCAAGTATTCCAACAACTTCTATAAATTATTATCCGCGAATTTTATTATAGTGTATGTCACAATCTTGACAAAAAATTTCTCTTGAAAAACTTCAAGATGTTAGTTGCGATGATCTTTGCCAAGGCTTCTGCTTCGGTCCACTTGGTAAAATAATCAACTG